TTGGTCAGCCTCAACGCTGTTGAGGTGTTTGCTTAGTAGGTCAAAAAAAATGTGTTTGATGTTTTCAACCCAAAACAGTTGCCATGCTCCTCAAAAGCAGGAGAAGCTGAAGCTCTGAGCTTCATTTTCAGATCTGAACTGAAAGAGATTTTGGGAATTTGGAGAAGGAAATGAAAAAATTAGGAGCTGAGATTAAGAGTCCAGATTTGTAAGCACGGAAGGGAGAATTGGTAAGAGAGTGTCAAGAGGAAGCTGTTAGGAGTCAGGTGAGGAAAACCAAGAATTGTTATATTATAATCAAACGTTCTATTTGTTATAAGGGAAGGAAAACGGGGAAGCAAATATGTGCCAAGTTCATTCAAATACTGTGCCAGGGGAGGAAAAATTGGTCCAACAAATACACAATTGGTTAGCTTTCTCAGTGTGGTTGGTACGTGTACTAACCCTCCTTATTCTGTCCAGTTGTGTAACTCTGCAGATGTGTTTGCTGTGCCAGCTAGGATTACTGCAGTGGCCATTGTAGTCTAAGGCCAGAGGGTGTCAAATGGAAGAACAACTAGGCACCATCTATTCTAACACATCTGCATGTCCACAACCTGGTACCATCCAGATGTGTTAGATTGTGAGAATGGCTGTGTTGCCTTGAGATTCTGAGGAACTAAAGGCCATCATCTGGAGGGAACTGGTTTGAGAAAAGCTTCATTATGGAACCAGTTTTTAATATTGGGGAAAAAATACTGGTAATAGGATGGGACGAGTCTTCTTAGGCTGAATCCCCATTGTTATGATGGCTGTTGGATGACCTGGATCAAATTATTTCTCCCTTAGCCAGATTTCCTCATCCTGCAAAAATGAAACGAACGGGGAGATCTATGCTCTAGGATCTTTCCAAGCAGCTTGAGGAAAGGTTGGGCTAAAAAAATAATTCTGATTTGAAGTCAGGATACTAAAAATCCTTCTTGCCTTTGAGCAGTACTAATTTGTTCTTGTATCTTTTGAGATTTTTTTTTTACCAGAGTTCATTTTTAGGCCTGTTTTTACCCCGATGCCAATATATTTGCTCTCACTACTCATTTAACAAAACCCCGGGGGCTCTGAATGATTAATCTGAAGCCAAATGCCTCCTCCTCTTCCCCTCCTTTTGAGTTGATCACCATTTTCTCTTGACATCAGGCACCTGAGTGATGCTGAGCTTCACCATGTATACCAGGGCTGTCGAACTCCCAGCCCGCGGGCCGGATGCATCACACGCTGGCCACGCCTTCCCCCCGGTTTAGCAAAGGGGGCAAAAGTCGCGATACTTCACGTGACGACAACGTGACGCCACGATTTTGACACCCCTGATCTATACTAGAAATCCAGAGAACTAGTCTGTCAGGGAACGGTATGATACTCAAAGTCAGAAGACTTGGTGCTGAGAACAAAGCACAAAGAGAACGCCGCTATGCTATCAGTTGGAACCATGCTGGTTTCCCCATTTTTCAAAGCATCCACCTGGGCCCTCCAACAAACCTGTTTGATCCAGTATTGCATTTCTCCTGTCTTCCATTTTCCCGGTGGAAGAAATTTGGAAGTCAACATCGAAGGAGGTCAGATTGGCAGCCAGAATTGTGTCTGCTATCCTCAACCCAGTGACAGACTTTACTGAAGGTTCCTTGTAGAACACCATAGGCTGGACTTCCCCAACACCTCCAAAGGTGTTAACCCAGTTCCCATGATTCCCTAGGTGGGAAGGCTGCAGTAGATGTCAACTCTGTTTCATTTGTGGAGGACTCTTTCTCTCTCTCACTTATTCTGTCCCTTCCCCTTTTTCCTTTTTTTTTTTTTTGGTCTGGCAGTTTTCCAGCAGTTTCCTGTTCTACCTTCTTGTTCCCCATCCCTTCTGATCAAAACAGCCAAGATCCTGACTTGCCTTTGGCTGTTTAGTGTGTGGCGTGATCAAATAATGAACTTTTGTTTACATTTCAACAATAATAAAGTTTGGATTTTTTAAACATTATAAGGTGTGTTTTTGTCTTTTTGTCACTAGCTTCTGGAAAAACTGTGGCCGTACTTCTGTGGCCCACTTCTCCAACACATGAATGGGCCCACCGAAGAGTTGGGGAACATGGACCAGTAGAAGTTTTATATTGTTCTGTGGCCATTAGCAACCTTTGTGGGTTTGCTCCATTCTTATAAAATGGGCCCTCTTGGGGTGGTCTTTTGTGTAACACTTGTTGCAGAGTCACAGAAGGACAAACACAGATGGAGATCTCTTGGGATTCTATAGGAAGTTTCAAACTCAAGAAATTGCTAGCATTGCCAATAGCTTCCCCGAAAGGGGCATCCCCTAATCTCCACTGCAGATGTTACCTAGCCTGGTAACTAAACGGAAACCAACCCACAAGCTTGGAGGACAAACCCTCACCTCATCCTACACCAGAGCTACAGATATTGCAATGCCAATAGCATTTATACTGCTCCTGCCCCATAAGCCCTTTACAATCCTCTGTGTGAGGTTTACAATGTCAGCATTCTCTGCATATTGCCCTCAACAATCTGGGCCCTCATTTTACCAACCTCGGGCAGATGGAAAGCTAAGCCAACCTTGAGCCCTGTCAGGATCAAACTCCAGGCTGTGGGCAGAGTTTGCCTACAATATTGCACTTTAACCACTGCCATAGGGCTCGTTGAGCCAAAAACCACAAACGGTTGCTGTACCAAGACTGTCATAGATGTTCTAATCACTTATTAAGACATCTTGATGATTCGCTCAGGATGATTGAAGAGAGATAATATGAAAGGGAAAAATAAGATGGGGAAAAATTAAATTAAAGATGTGACTTGAATTTATCTCCTGATATCTTGTATTCTTCTTTCTCCACGGCAAGGCGATTTTGGGTAGGGAAAAAATAAGACCTCAGGAATTGTTTGTACTGCAAGCAGACATGCAATTTGCATTTTTGTAAGCAGAAGCATTTAATTTATAAAATGTTACCTTATAATCTGCTGTGCTGGTAAAAACAGATTGTTATGTATGGGAGATGCAGAATATAGAAGGGAAGTACATGCTAATGAATCCTGAGATCTTATAGCCCAGGGGTGTCAAAACTGGCAGCCCACAGGCCGGATGTGACACATGACAGCAACATGATCCAGCAAGTTTGACACCCATGTTATAGTCCATTTCATTACTTAGATATTCCAGCTTTCTCCTTCCACTGAATTGGATTACCATTCCCTTCCAGTCATTGTTGTCAACATTAGTAGAGTTCGCTTCCCCAATGCTTGGACTGAAGGTGCCATGGATTAAACCTGTGGAGCAGAATTAGGCTTTTTTCCTTTATTTTTATTTTTATTATTTTTTGCTGTAAGCACTGCAGACAAAGCCACCTGAGGGTTGGGGGTGGACATTAAGGGGCATATCTGTGTAGATAAGAGAGAGACTTAATAACCTTTGTGCATATTCATGACAGTTTCCTCCTCACTTTTACGAGTGAAAAAGCAAAAAAAAAACAACAACAACCCAAACCTATACTATATATATTAGAAGTCCCCAAACTTGGCAACCTTAAGACTTCTGGACTTCAATTCCCAGAATTTCTCAGCCAGCATAGTTGAAGTCCACAAGTCTTAAAGTTGCCAAGTTTGGGGACCACTGATATATATAGTTGTAATCCCATAAAACGCTAGAGAGCTTCCAGCTAATCAGCTGATTTGTAGCTTGCTGCAGGCAGAATACCTGTTGGGCCTCTTAAGATTCTTAAGAGTCCCCATTTAACATCCACTCCTTCAGTGATCTTTCTAAGTTATGCCAGTGCTGAATGAGAGAAATTTACGATGGGTCCTCATAGTTGTGGCTCTTACAGCAGTCCCATGATCACAATTTAGGCACTTAGCAACCAGTTACATCCCACAGTGACATGGTCGCTGTTTGCAACCTTCACGGCCAGCTTCCCCAACAAGCAAAGACAGTGGGGAAGCCAACGGGAGGTTGCCAATGATGATCGTGTGACCCTGGGATGCCGTTAAAGGTTTGCCTTAACAGTGGCAAGTGAGAGCGGTGGAACTGCCATCATACGTTGGTGCAGTCAACAACTGCTTGCTTAGCAACGGTGTTCCTGATCCTAGTTGCTTTCAGCAAGCAACGACTACCTGCATTGGGATAACAGAAGTCTACAATAGTATCAGGCTGGGTTGACCATCCGATGTGAAGCCCGATGATGCTCAGTCACTCACACCTCCTCCTTTGTGATATCCTTTTGCCAGGATTGTCTGCTAGAACTGCTTCGTAGGGTTCTTGTGGGCTGATGCTTTGTCGTCGGTGAGAGTTATCTCACACCTTGTCTGCTGTCAGTCTCTTTTCCAATCACTTTTGATTTTCCAAAGAACCAGACTCTTAACTTTAAAGGAGAATATTTGTAGTTGAAATGAGGGATCCTTCGTGCTCTCTGAGCTTGATGGTTTTCTTGCAGGTGTTTCGTTACCCTAACTAGCACTGGTGATGTTATCTGCAAGAAAACAAGCTCAGAGAGCACCAAGGACCCCTCCCTCTTAACTTGGCATGGTGTGGTGGCCAAAAAATGATGGTAGGTTCCAGCAGTTACAGCCTTAAAAGGACAGGAGTCTCCCCAGATCCTTGAGATTCTTTCTCTACTGTCTTCTGCTCAGACATGTCCCCCATCTGCTTTGCTAACGGTAGACATTTTCACTTCTTTTTCAAGACTGTAGCATAATATACGTTAGGTTTTTATGAATTGTATTTTTTAGATGGACAGATACTAGGACAGTGTTTAATTTTTTTTATGGATGAAGTTTTTAGAGGTATAAAAATATTGTAAATGTCCTTCCTGAGCAAAGGAAACTGTGGTCCCCTGTCTTGATTCCATTTCATGTGTCTTTACCTCTATAGCACATCCTTTGCCCTGTTGCATTTTGGCTTGATGCTCCTGTCTCACCCATTGCTTGCTGCTGCCTCATCATCTCCACCCCCTGCTTGTTTTTCCCCTCCCTTCCTCCAGGGGGAGCTCTGAAAAGGACAGCCTGATAGCTAAAAAGTGGTCCTACAGCCGCTTCAAGAACTCTGCTGAAAGTGCAGAAGAGCCTGAGAACAGACCAGGTGAGTGACATCTGATGAGTGTGGGGGTGTGTGGGGGGGTTACTTAGCAACTGTTTGAAGGTCTGATGGACCTACTTATAGTTCGAAATTCCAACTTTCAACCCTTCTCCCTGGGTCACATGACTGCACTGTGGATACTTGACAACTGGACCACATTTATGGCTGTTTGCGGCATTCTGCGATCACATAACCACATTTTACAACCGTTTTGCCAAAAACTGGCATTTCATTCCAATTTCTGTGGGGCAAAGCTGCACCAATGGCAAACCATCGGTTTGCTTAATGACCACTCCATTTGCTTAATAACCCACCACAAAAAAAGGTTGTGAAATAGGGTCAGTCACGTGACCAACTTGCTTTATGACCATCCTGAGTTACGACCGTGATGAGTAGGCTCCATTGCTGCCATAACTCAAGGACTACCTAGATGTTCACATTTAGACTTAGCTATTAACTTTACCCCAAAAGAGTCTGGGAATATGTAAAACACTGATGTGAATGCTCTGGGGAGTGGAAGTCTGCATGTTGCCTGTGGCCACATTCAAATAACAGATGGGAAAAACATCAATCCCCAAAAGGTGAAACACCCACAACAAAATTACTTCACCGAAATAGGCATTCATCCAATGACTAGGGCCGTGGGCCAGAGGTTGCCCTTGGCTATTCCAAAAGATTCCCTTTGAAACAAATACTTGCAAAGAACCCTCAAGCCCGTGAAGATGTTTGCCATGCTTGCCTGTTTGTGAAAAAAAATAAGAATTTTCTTTATTCTGGGTCATCTTTTTGATCCATCTAGCCAAGGCCGCATTTTTCCCCCTCTGTTGAGTTGATTCATTAACTGAGAATGAAAGATGGAACCTCTGTGTGGAAAACGTAGTTCTCTTATCACTCTATTGTATAATAGCAATAGCACTTAGACTTATACCACTTTAGTGCTTTACAGCCCTCTTTAAGCAGTTTACAGTCAATTTGGGCCCTCATTTGACCCACCTTGGAAGGATGAGTCAACCTTGAGCCTGGTGGGATTTGAACTGCCAAATTGTAGGCAGCTGGCTGCAGAAGTAGCTTGCAGTCCTGCACTCATAACCACTGAGCCACAGAGGCTCCTTAATAATAATACAGGTGGTTCCCAACTTACAACAGTTCATTTAACTAAAAAAAGTGACCTGACCATTTTTCATTTTTCAATCTTTGTATCATCCCCATGGTCATGAGATCAAAATTCAGATGCTTGGCAACTGGTTGATACTTATGACCATTGCTATGTTCCAAGATCATGTAATCCCCTTTTGCAACCTTCTGACAAGCAAAGTCAATGGGGAAACCAGATTTACTTAACAACCCTGTTACTAACTGAACAACTGCAGGGATTCACTTGCGGCAAGAAAGGTTGTAAAATGGGGCAAAACTCACTTAAATAATTTCACTTAGTAACAGAAATGTTGGGCTCAATTGTGTTTGTAAGTCGAGGACTACATGTGCTGACATAGATGGGACAGGTCCATTCTTCCTCCTTAAACCTGTGTTTAAGGCAGTCTTTTCTTATTTATAAAACAATACACTAGGACCTAGATCCTCATTCAAAACAAAAATGCAGATGTTAGGATTCTCAAGATACTGAACGTTGCTCTTGAGGGTTTCAAATTTTCCCTTGTGTGTGCAAGATCCACTTTGCAAGTGAGATTATTTAATGTTCAAACACATGTATTTGAGCTTGTATTTTTCCTGCCATAAAACCAGGTTTGCCCAGCTTAAGTGGAAGATTGCTAATGATACTCACCAGCTTTCTGTAAGAAAAAAAAGTTGGAAAGATGGAAAGATTACAGCAGGAGAAGATTATGTCCACCTATAAAATTCCATGAACAAAGCAGCACATTTATTTATTTAACATATGGCATATCGTACATGGACTAGCAATACATATTAGAATTTCAACTAAATTAGTAGAACCCAATAAAATATAAATGTTAAAAAGACCTATGTTTAAATAGTGTCTAGGCCAGGGATGTCAAACTCAATTTCATTGAGGGCCGCATCAGCATTATGGTTACCCTCAAAAGGCCAGTTGCATGTAAGACTACAGTGTGTATCATATTAGTTCAGGGGTGCATTATGTCTAGGCCATCTAACCATTGAAGCACAGCATCATTTATATTTAAAAAATCAAATACTGGACCGATATATGCCCTCCGCTTATGTCACGATGTGATCTACAGTTTCATGTGGGACCCTAGCAGATGCATTAATGGGGGGGGGACATTATGCCCCATTGATCAAGCAGCAAATGATTATACAATTAAAATCTCATCTGGAACAGTCTTTAATTTTTGCACATTAAGCAGCCTTTTCAGAACAGAACATAGAGCCTACAATATATTAGCATGCATTAGTAAAGTGACATCTGAACCTGACTTCTTCCTATTTTTTTAGGGGATATAAAGGATAACTCTGATTCACCAAAAGCAACTCAGAAATCAGACAGCAAGTAAGTCTTTCCCTTTCTCTCTCTCTACTTCTTTTCATCTTCATTTCCAAAGAATCACAGAGGGTCAAAAAGCTTGATAGCTCAGCCTGCATTGATACTATAAGCACAACACTATAATAACAGCAAATGAACTAGGGAGACTAGCTATGAAGCCACAGTTGGATTGGAATTAGAAAATGACAGAGCCTTCCCCAACCCAGTTCAGCACCTTCCAGATGTTGAGCTACAACTACACTTACACCAATTAGTACTGTTGTAAAGCAGTTCAAGAATCCACTAACATCCAAATCAGAAGAAGACCCAACTTTTATTTAAACATCTCCAATGAAGGCGAGTTCACCATCTCCCAAGTCAGCCAGTTCCATGGTTAAACAGCTCTTGCCATTAGGAAATGATTCCAGATGCCTTCCTAACATCTGTTCCTTTGTCATGTGAACCGATTGTTTCTTGTCCAGTCTTCTGGAGCAACTCTGATTCATCTTCTACATGATAAGTTTCTGGGTTTTTCTCCCCTTCAGCAGTTTCTACTACGGGAATAAGAAAACTAATCCACTTTAGCCAATGGATGTTGAGGTAGAAAAGTGCTGTAAAAGCTATACAGGTGAAACTCGAAAAATTAGAATATCGTGCAAAAGTTCATTTATTTCAGTAATGCAACTTAAAAGGTGAACCTAATATATGAGATAGGCTCATTACATGCAAAGCAAGATAGTTCAAGCCGTGATGTGTCATAATTGTGATGATTATGGCTTACAGCTCATGAAAACCCCAAATCCACAATCTCAGAAAATTAGAATATTACATGCAATCAATAAAACAAGGATTGTACATAGAACAATATCAGACCTCTGAAAAGTATAAGCATGCATATGTACTCAGTACTTGGTCTGGGCCCCTTTTGCAGCAATTACTGCCTCAATACAGCAGGGCATGGAAGCTATCAGCCTGTGGCACTGCTGAGGCGTTATGGAAGATCAGGATGCTTCAATAGTGGCCTTCAGCTCTTCTGCATTGTTCGGTCTCATGTCTCTCATCTTTCTCTTGGCAATGCCCCATAGATTCTCTATGGGGTTCAGGTCAGGCGAGTTTGCTGGCCAATCAAGCACAGTAATCCCACGGTCATTGAACCAGGTTTTGGTACTTTTGGCAGTGTGGGCAGGTGCCAAGTCCTGCTGGAAAATGAAGTCAACATCCCCATAAAGCTCGTCTGCGGAAGGAAGCATGAAGTGCTCCAAAATTTCCTGGTAGACGGCTGTGTTGACCCTGGACTTAATGAAGCACAGTGGACCAACACCAGCAGATGACATGGCTCCCCAAATCAACACAGACTATGGAAACTTCACACTGGACTTCAAGCATATTGCAGTGTGTGCCTCTCCATTCTTCCTCCAGACTCTGGGTCCTTGGTTTCCAAATGAGATGCAAAAGTTGCTCTCATCAGAAAAGAGGACTTTGGACCACTGAGCAATAGACCAGGTCTGTTTTTCTTGCTTCTGACATTGTTTGTTGTTCAGGGGCGGCTTGACAAGAGGAATACGGCATTTGAAGCCCATGTTCAGGATCTGTCTGTGTGTGGTGGCTCTTGATGCACTGACTCCAGCCTCAGTCCACTCCTTGTGAAAGTCCCCAACACTTTTGAATGGCCTTTTTCTGACAATCCTCTCCAGGCTGTGGTCATCCCTGCTGCTTGTGCACCTTTTTCTTCCACACTTTTCCCTTCCACATAACTTTCTATTAATGTGCTTTGATACAGCACTTTGGGAACATCCAACTTCTTTTGCAATTACCTTTTGAGGCTTTCCTTATGGAGGGTGTCAGTGATGGTTTTCTGCACAACTGTCAGGTCAGCAGTCTTTCCCATGATTGTGATTCCTACTGAACCAGACTGAGAGACCATTTAAAGGCTCAGGAACCCTTTGCAAGTGATATGGCTTAATTAGCCGATTAGAGTGGGGACACTTTGAGCTGAGAATATTGAACCTTTTCACAATATTCTAATTTTCTGAGATTGTGGATTTGGGGTTTTCATGAGCTGTAAGCCATAATCATCTCAATTATGACACATCACGGCTTGAACTATCTTGTTTTGCATGTAATGAGTCTATTTCATATATTAGGTTCACCTTTTAAGTTGCATTACTGAAATAAATGTACTTTTGCACGATATTCTAATTTTTCGAGTTTCACCTGTAAACCTACATAATTTAACAAATTTATATACCAATTCAATTCACATGTGGTAACTCTTAGCAACTTGCAACATTACTAATCCACAATCCAACACCCCCATACACTGACGACAGTACGATCAAACCAGCCACTTGATTGGTTTCAGATCAACTTGGGGTCTTCAAGCCTGCTGATAGAACCAGGTCTTCAGGCTTTCAGAAAAATATCAGGGTGGGAGCCAGCTGTCCTATCTCCAGGGGTATGATATTCCATAGGGAGGGAGCCACCAGAGAGAGGGAGGACCCTTTTTCTTGTGCCCACCAGATATACTTCCCTAATACTTGGGGTACGCAACATGTCCTACCTTCCTGCTCTGGCGGGCCAGTTTTATACAGTACATCCACAATTACACATCTGTAAAATTACCTGTTTTTTTTAAATCTTTCCTGATCTATCTAGATAACTGCTCTTTCTCCCCTTAGACTTAAAGGCACTGTTCTGAGCCATCCCCATGATCTAGAACCAATGATCATTAGGCAGATGGAAGAGACAGCCCAAGTTCCTGAAGAATGTTCACCTCCCATGATGGATGCTCAAGATCTCGATGAACCAGCCTTTGGGGAAAAGACAAAGAACTCCAATGCTTTAACAGTCCCCTACAAGAATGCCATTGGCAAAAGTAAGCATCATGTTCCCTGGATTCCTCTGAAGCAGAATAAGGGGCTGTACAATCTGGCTCCAAACTCATGTCAGAGGAAGCCACTGTGGATAGTAGCAGGAAGTCCTTATGAAGCCAAGTGGATCCACCACAAGTATCTGTATTGCAATACTAGACCTTGGTAAAGGAAATGAGTCAAAATCATGGCTGTTGAATTAACAGATAATGTTGTCTATAGGAAGTAGGAGAACATTGCCAACAGCCTATTTAAAGTATTAATTATTGAAGTATTCATATTCTCCGTTATTAGATCTGACTAAAG